TACCAAACGGGGGCGGGCAAAAACGAGCACAGCAAACGGGGTACTGAAATTTGGAAAAACAGGTAGAAGGGGTTCCCAATGCCCAGCCCCAGGAAAAAAGGCAGGCAAGGTTCAGAATAGTCGGGCCAAATCAGGCAGACAAACAATGAAACACTACAACCCCCCTTGGAGTTGTTTGAATTCGGCCCCCCCCAAAAGTCCTGAAACAGCCAGGCAATCTGTTTTCCCTCCACACAAGCTTCTTTCCCGGGGTCAAAATCAGGGGCCTTGAGCTTTTGTTTTGTTTTTTTTTTTAAGGGAAATTTAGAACGGGGAAAATTTAAAGGGGGGGATAAAAAAAGGCCCAAAGGGGAACCAACAACTGAGGCAAATTTCCCTGGCACTTTTCACAAGCTTTTTTTCTTTTCCCTAGTTTAAAATTCTCCATTTTCGCCCACATCGGAGGTTCTCCTGGGGCAGGGACCCGGGCCCCCTTTCCCTTTATAAATGATAAAAAGCCCCTGGTTCCCACCAGAGTGCTCCTTCTCTATCTGCCAGGGGGGTGCAGGTGTACTTCACTCAGATCCCCTCCTGTATCGTTTTGCGGTTGGCTGCTGTACCAGGCCTGTCAGTTGGGCACTCTTCCCTGCATACAGGGGCTCTCTTCAGGGGGCCAGTGAGTTCCGAGTTTTTCTCCTTTTCCAGCTCCCGGCCTCGCAGGCAGTCCCAAACCAACTAGTCTTCCTGGGCAGCCTCCTTCCTCACCAGGACTTATCTTCCTCACAATTCTCCACTCTATCTCCTGCTACTGAGCACTTTTAAGGGTGTCCAGCCCGTTGCCATCCTCTTGTTGGATTGGCTAGGACCCCTCACGAGGGCAGCCAGACACTCTGCAGATCCACCCACTGCCTCCAGGACCTTCCTCTAAAAGCCTCAAAGCAAGGGGAAATTCCAGAAGGGCTGGCCTGCAGAGCCTTTCAGCCCCTGACAACAATTTGACCCCTGTGGCTATTACACCTGGGCTGCTACTCAGCCCCTGTCTAACCATTAGGATCTAGCTCCCCTAGCTAAAGTGGAAGAGTGCTACATAGAGAGCTTAGAGCACGTGTTATAGAAGCAATATCACAAGCATGAGAAGGTAGGCTTGGCTGGTTTGGTCTCCACCAAGAAACTGGCCATATCAATCACCTTGCAAGTGGACAGAACAGAATGTAAACACAGCCAAACCAGGATGCTGGAATGAGACCAGCAGCTTTGATGGAGCAGGAGCGCTACACGCTCTGACAGTATCAATTCAAATGTAGCACTGTGATACAGTACAACAAATATGAGCTGAAAAAGTGCAATAAATTCCATTACAGACATATAATAAAAATAATAATAATAACATATCCACCCATTGTTCCAATTTGTGAAAAATAAATTAAAATATTATTACAGATACTTATATAGCGCTGTCAATTTACGTAGCGCTTTACATATATATTGTACATTCACATCAGTCCCCTAACCCTCAATCTAATGTCCCTAACTTACATTCATACATACACAAAGTAGGGCCAATTTAGACAGGATCCAATTAACCTACCAGCAGTCTTTGGAGTGTAGGAGGAAACCCACAACATGCACACTCTAGGCAGTAGGTGCCATGGCTGGGATTTGAACCACCAACCCTATTACTTGCCAGGTGGAAGTGCTAAACCATTTAGCCACTGTCTAACACAATCCCATTAAAAAGATGGGACTTAGTGGTAACAGTGATATCTTTGGAACAGGACTGGATGGGAGAGATACTGTACTACAAATTTATGTAGTGAGGAAAGATTGCACTTTGATTATATTTATTATGTTGTTTAAAGAAGAAATTCCAGGGTGTTTTTTTCCCCATACAGTTGGGGCTATGCCCGCACTGCATAGATTGACTGCTCGTTTTGCCTAGGGGTGAGGGGAGCAGAGATATACTTTTACCTAATCCACCAATCCTCCAAATGCAAGCCTGGTCCCCCTGCACGCTACCGGTCTTGTGATAGAACTGTTTCCTGGTGCCATCATGCCCATAGCCCGGTTCTGGATGTGAGAACAGCAGAAACAGTCCACCGCTGGACGTGGGGGAGCACTGTTTTCTGGAGGATCAGGTAAGTGTAGCCTTTCAGTGCGCCTCTGGACAAAATGAGAAATTTACCCATAGCCCCACTGCAACTCTGCAAAGAATACTCAATCACATGCCAGTAAAACAAAAAAAAAACAGCATTTTTGCTTGCAAATGATTGGATGATAGAAGCCAGCATATCTTCCCATCATTTACTAAGCATTGGAGCAGTTGCACTTGCAGAGTGCACCGTCTATTTGCCTTTAGAAAACACTAAGGTCTTTTAGTTCAACGAATTCTTCATGTTTACAAATCTCTGCAGTAAAATGTATTTTGTACATATCTGGTGCCCGAATTAGCCATGAAAGTCTGTGAAATGCTCTGCATAAAATTATATTAAAAATATTATGACAGACAAAGATATTTTTGGGGTTAGGGATGACTTCATTTCCTACTGTTTTTACAGATAGCTGGTGTATTATTGCATCACCATTTATTCCAAAGTACCTCTCCTCTCCTCGCTGTTGTGCACTGGGGGGCGCTGTCTATCTTATTGCTGACAACACCAAGAAAGTTTACATGTATCTCACAGAAGTGAATCTGTGGAAGAAGGTAAGCATCACTGGGTGAAGGCAGAATGTGTTGTTAATTTGTTTTAGGCTGGAGATCAGGCCTACTAGACATAGCCAGATAAATACACCCTTACAGAATCATCTTCCTCCTCAGAGCTGACAATGCAGTATAATACATACAGTATTAGGGCCGTGGATAAGGGGATACCACCAGTCCTCCTGTGCGAGGCCCACGCAGCAGGGTGAATCGGATGTGGGCAGGAAGGGTGAATGGGGCAATTACTGGAACCAATCCCCTGTATGGCTCTCTCTGCAGCAGCTGAAAGCTGGGGTTCTTCTCCCCTCCCCCCCCCGTTCAGCTGCTGCAGAGAGAAACATCCAGGGGATCGGTTCCAGTAATTTACCAGCCCCTTCCATTCCTGAATAAACACAATGAGTGATCGGTATCGATCACTCGCTATGTTCATTTATAACTGAAGCATAGTAAACTTTTTTTTTGTGGGGATGGGGGGGCCTGCTAGGTTGAATGTATGGGGCCCTGTGGTTTGGGGGGGGCCTGTCAGGTTGGCTATAAGGGGCCTCGTGGATTCTAACAGCAGCCCAGGACAGTATATGTGTCTTCCTACTGGCTGCATTTACCACCATGGCAAACACATACTGTAATGCACACAAAGTGTGATCTACAGTAGCACACGTTGATCAGTAGACCTGCAATCTTGTGGCCCTTGTGACCTTTGTACTATGTGCAATGCAACTTGTGGTTCTCATAGAGGATGCATAGCAGTATTACAGAGGGAAATACAGTATATGTACAAATGCATCTTTTATTGCTTATGTACAGTTGTGCTCAAAAGTTTGCATACCCTGGCAGATATCATAAAATTTTGACAACTATATTGAAAATATGACTGATCGTGCAAAAAAACCCCTGTCTTTTATATAAGGATGGTGATCATATGAAGCAATTTATTATCACAGTTGTTTGGCTCCTATTTAAATCTTAATGATTGCAGAAATCACCCAAATGACCCTGATCAAAAGTTTTACATACCCTGCAATGTTTGGCCTTGGTACAGACTCACAAGGTTACACACATAGGTTGCAATCAGTGTCTGTGTATAAATAGTCAATGCATTTGTTAGCTCTCACATGGATGCACTGAGAAGGTTAGATATTGAGCTATGGGGAGCAGAAAAGAACTGTTAAAAGACTTGTGTAACAAGATAATGGAACTTTATAAAGATGAAAAAAGAATAAAAAAGATATCCAAAGCTTTGAATATGCCAGTCAGTACTGTGTAACCACTTAAGTGGAAAGTTCGGGGATCTCTGGATACCAAGACAAGGTCAGGTAGACTAAGAAAGATTGCAGCCACAACTGACAGAAGAATTGTTCGGGATACATAGTAAATCCCACAGGAAACCTCAGAAGAAATACAAGCACTCTGGAAAAGGATGGCGTGGTTGTTTCAATGATCACAATGTGACAATACGTGAACAAAAATGAGCTGCATGGTTGAGTTGCCAGAAAGAAACCTTTACAGTGCCAATGTCACAAAAAAATCTGGTTACAATATGCCTGACAACACCTTGACACGCCTCACCAGGCTTTTTTATGGCATTAACACTCTAAAGGCTTCTGGCATATTCAAGGTTTTGGATATCTTTTTATATTCTTTTCCATATGATTTTTTCCATGATACCCCGGCAGGTCACAGGATCATGCTGCTCTGTACCCCAGGGAGGGGGGGCAATAGTGCGAATGTGCACCGCGATGTACGAGTAGAGTTGTGCTCTTACAGCAGCACACATGCTTGCCCTAGAAGGTGCAACCACCTCTGAGGCTGGCTACACCCCTTCCTCAAATTCTGCCCAATCACTGGTAGCCTTGCATAAAGCTGCACCTTGGGGAAGATCAGCACTCTAGTGGGAGCTACTTGAACACTGCTGGGGGAGAGGGTAGGGGGAGGGATCTGTCTGTGGCATGTACTTCAGCAGGACCCTTTCCTGCCGTCTTGGGCCCCCCACGGTGGCGGAACGCCAGGGCTCGGTTGCAAGTGTGACCTTTGCAACCCTGATAGTTCCGTCACTGGAACTGTAGCTATAATGTAGCTGGTTAAGTAGTTCCTAATGGCTAATTCTGTAGTGGTCGCAGCAAGTAGTAGCTGCAAGGCCCTCTCACAAGACCCAGTGACGCAGCAGCATTGGTCCCTTTGATCAGATGTCTGCTCACTCTGGGTTGACTAACTCCAGTAAGCAGTGCAGCCAGGTCCATATCCTGGCAGTGGCTCGGCAACATGGTCCTCTCTCTCTTGCAGTCTCCCCCCACACGGTACTCATTGGTGGTTTTTCAGTGGCTCACTTTCTCTCTGGGGGGGAACTATGACACATTCCTCTCACTAACTCCCCCCTGGGAACATTGCACTGTCTTGGTGAATTTTTGTCCAGGCAAATCTTGCTCCCTCCTCCTTTAAAAACAGGGTGTAGTTCAGACCCCATGGACTTCAATGAACAGTCCACTCCTTGGGACTGCATGTCCCATCATGCCCCTAGAGTCCCTCCTGATTGACTCCTTGTTCTGCTTAGGTGGAGGGAGGGGAAGAGAGAGCTGGGATTACACAGAGTCTGCTGCTGATAGGAGGGGGGGGGGGGGCAATTGGTCAGCAAGCACACAGACATCCTGCAGCTGCCCCTCCCCCCTGTCATAGCACAGCCTATCTGAGTCCCAGTGTAGTAGTGTAGTAGGCATCAAGGGTAGGGTTCAAGTAGGAACAAGTGAGGACAGTGGGTGGGCACATCCCTCGACTACACTAATATGACAGGTACACTAATATGACAGGTAGGCCACATAGGCTCCTCCCTGAAGCTGATAAGGGGTGGGGTTGCAATTGAGACCTCTGATGCTTTATGCCCATGGTTATCAGGGTTTTTGGGTATGGATACTTCGAGCTCCAAGGTAAATAGTGGGGGTGATGGTGAATAATGTTGATACATGGGTTTGTATATGATCTGCCATGGTTTTAGCCAATAGTTTGTAGTCTTTGTTAAGTAATGATATGGGTTAGTAAGAATGGACAGCTTTAGAATTAGGGTAATGTATGCTTTATTAAATTCTGGGCATGGGTGTTGTATATTCTCTTGTGGAAAATGAATAAAATATTGAAAAAGAAAATTAATCTACTCTTTATAGTAACATGGTTAATAGCTTCACCCCAGTAATATAGCCATATGCCCCCATAATATAGCCATATGCCATCCTTTGGTATCATCTCCAATCTGTAGAGAAGTGTTATAATGTTGAGTACTCAAACAAAATGAAAATGAAAGTGACCTGACACAGTGACATTGATTTAATCACAGAGAGTGATTATGGCAGATTATGGTGTTTTGTTCTTTGTAGGCCTATTCCCGTTTCTTCGGGAAAGGTCTCATCTGTCCACCAAGATTTAAATGACTGATGGGACATGCAGTATGGGTAGTTTGTGTGAGTAGCTTGAAGAGCTTTTGACTATATCAAATTCACTGAAGCTACAGTGCCAGCAAACTTCTTTATGCGCACTGTCCATCCGTCAGAAAATGAATATTTTGTTCTACATGTGTCTCCTCTTTCTTTCCTGGCTTAGTTGCAAACAATGCTTAAGTGAAACGTCTCTCCTTTTTATCTGCTTTCATGATTTCTATATTACCTGTTACTTGCCCCAGGTGAGTTTACAGGAGCATATGCTTATGTATATTTATCCGCAGTTGAAATATATACTTTTGTATTTTTGGAGGTTTGTGTATTATGTCGAATTTGCTTTCTTTCCTCCCTTTTTTTGTTTTGTCCCCCAATACACACAAAGGGAATATATGGCAAAACACATACGTTCTGAGAAATACTGATTTCCTAGATTGATTTCGGCCAATGGGGCATGACCTCTGTGGGGTCATGGTGGGGTTTTTTTTGTACAGAGTAAATTATATATGGTGAAATTATTACATATAGCTTTCAATGATTTCTTATCTTGGATTCTTGCTCAGGTGCAGCTCCTACATACCCTTCATGAGAATGGAGGCATGACCTCTGTAGGGCCACAAATCTTTGTGACAGGTGGCCACTGGCATGGCATGGCACGTGAATACAGCGTGGTGATGGAGTCATATGACAGCAGTATTGATACTTGGACTCGGGAAGGGGCCCTACCAAGCCGCTGGATGTACCACTGCACATCTGCCATCTTCATGGACACCTCTCGTTGGCCCAGCATATTCCAAGGACAATCAGAAATGGAAGTTTGACCGATAATATGCTTTGTGAAGAGTATAAGACAGACCTTACATCTTATTGCAGAACTTACTGTTATACAATATGGCTTACTGTGGTGCTCATCTAGAGAACATCAACTCACTGATAATCCTGCTGTTTTGTAATTCATTTCACAAACGTGATGTCTTCTAATGAATTACGCAAATTTATTCCATTGTTATCAGTGTTAAGCTATTCACTGATGGTATATTTACAATATATGCTTTTATATTTTAGATTTTTAAGTATGTAATGCTATGTAGAACCCACCAAATAATGTATGGCTATGTGATTTGTGCTGCTAATACACCAAGAGTAGTTCACAGTTACAAATGCAAATTGAAATGCCAAGCTGCAAAACTGGTAAAACACTGTCACACATTAAAAATGGCATAATTCAACATATAAATTAATAATTCTACCACTTTACAAAACACTGGTTTGGCCTCATCTTGAGTATGCAGTTCAGGAAAGATATTGTTGAATTAGAAAGAGTTCAGCAAAGGGCAACACAATTAATAAGGGGAATTGAGGATCTCAAAAGTGACTTTAGTGCCTGTACTAAGCTGTTTACTCTAAGGTCCCTGAAGAGAACACACAGCCACAATTTGAGGTTAGAAGAAAGGAAGCTTAACCTTAGATTGTGGAAAAGGTTCTTTACTGTTAGAGCAGTACAAATGTGGAACTTCTGCCTAAGAAAGTGGTACTAACGGAGAGTGTTGGAAACTTCCAAAAACATTTAGATGTCTTCCTTGGGAAGCAGAATATAAAGAGCAACAGGAATTGTTAGAGAATAAAAATCACACTCACATACACATACACTTGGAGGGAGCTTTTTTTAAACCTTATAAACTATGTTATATATACTAAAATGTTGCATATTGTTTTTTCAATACCGAATTACTGATTTATTGTCCTGGCCTAGAAGATGGCTATCTGCCAGATCAGCCTCCTTATGGCATTGTGCAGCAGAACACAAAAAATATACTCTTATTTACTGCATTTGAAAAGCTTTACCATACTGAAGCAAGTTTTAAAGTCATTATCAGCATTTTTATATCTGTAGCTTTAAATTCAATAATAATTCACAATTTTGTTTTTAAGGTCCTTGTGCAGGCACTTTCTGTTCTGCATTGTCACCTTGTTACACTAACACACTGACACACAGACATGGACCTCTGTTGTCATCATCAAAACACCCATCCTGAAAAATTATGTGGAACAGTTGCTGGACTGCATGTAGACTGTAAGTGCTGCAGAAGATCTGCAGTGCTGACATGCAACAAAGGATGCAAAAACCTATTTTCAAACACACCGACTGTTTTAGCAAACTAAACATCAACTGATAATGTTTAACATGTACTGTCTTAAAGGATAAGTTCACTTTAAAGAAAAAAAATAACATAAATAAATACATGTCCATTTTTGTGCAGGTAAAAATAAAATGTGCATTTACTATATTTTTTTTTTGGACCCTTGAAAGCATTGCACCAGCGATCAGCAGATCACTGGTGCTATGCAGGACTCCTGCATACTGTCAGTGTATCCGTGTGCCTGTACATCCCGTACAGGTAAGCAGATACAGTCTGACAGGAAGTCACAATAAACTACCACAGTGTTCAAAAGCACCATGGTAGTTCATGGAGAACTACAAGCTGACAGGCCACAAAGACTGTCCGGACTTGTAGTTAATTATTTCACAGAACTCTGTGAATGAATGAAGCGGACATGTGGGCAGAGCCCTGCACAGCCACAATGTTTTCAAAAAGTGACCGCTAGTGCAGGGACCTTTACTGTAACATGTTCCCAAAGGTGAACTTATACTTTAAACTTTGTCTGAGCCTGACACTGTAGCTGGAGTAAAAATTTGAACTAAAAATAAAAAATACATAAAAAAAATAAATAAATCGATGAGATGGTTAAGTGTGAATGGTTATTTATTTTCAATTTAAATTCAACGTGTTTCGAGGGGGGGAGATTCCCACTTCTTCAGGGCTTGGAGTTGAAGAAAAGTGCCTGACTGGGCAGAAGAACATGTAGCTGCTATTTCAGTTGTCGTGTCTGTGTTTCTATTAATGGAGTTTTAATCGAATGGCATCTGGAGGCAGCAATCCAGGACATGGCATCTATTTTGATCATTATAGATGCTGTGCACTGAAAGTTGAATGAAAATCTAAGGGCTGGTTATCTGGGATCCCCCACCTCTCAAATACAAGGAAACAAAAAAAGTTAAAGTAATACTAAATCTTCCTTTGTTTATTCAAACAAAAACAATATTATACTTGCCTCCTCTGTGCAAGGATACTGCACAGATAGGTGGCTTACCTTCTTTTTCAGTCCACCACTGGTGCTATCCACTCCTCCTCTTCTCCAAGTGTCCCCATAGCAAGCTGTGCTGAGGGAGTACTCATGCAGGTATGTTTCTGAGCTGGGCTGTGTGAGCCCTTCTCACAAAATTTGACTGACAGCAGCAGTAGCCAATGGCTCCCACTGCTATCAGTGTAGCCTGTGAGAAGAAGAGAGAGGGGACTCAGATAAGTGTGTGGGGAGGGGGCACTTAGTGGGTTTTTTTTTTACCTTAATGCAGGGAATGCATTAAGGTGAAAAAAAAATCTTTAGAACCACTTTATACTACCTTTTACGCCAGGCTGCAGCTGTCATTTTCTTCAGATTGCTGATGTAATAGACCCATTCTGATCAGCAAGAACACAATCTGAGAGTAACACTTTAAGCTTTCTAGCAAAACATTGGCTCATTACAATGATCATGGATGTTCCTAATTCATGCACTAATGTCAGTTGTACTGAATAATGACAGGGACTAAAAAGCTGTTTCTTCAGCATGGGGTAGACTGTGGCCTCAACAAGAAAGCACAGTATACTGAATAATACATAATGTATTAGTGTTCATGAATTCTCCTGTTTAATGCCTTTCACGTGTCACAGAAAATGTTTGTCACCTTTCCCATGTTTTCTTATGAGACATATACCAGAAGTTCACAGAGACACGGCCTACTTGCAGATCACTTCATTAATTTCATGGCTCCTACACTCTGGCCTGTTGACACAAGTAAATTCTGACTCTGGATTTTTTACCCTGAAGGTTGTTTATTTTGAAACTAATCAGATGTCATGTACTCACAAGGCTATTTTGGCCTTTATACAGTAAACATAATTCCTCTCAGGAAAGACACTATGCTATTTGTTGTCCACATTTCTAAAATTCAGAACTAAACCAGATGTGGATATGTACCCAGCAAAGTTGGAGTGACCTTCATTTTGTATTTTGGAATGAAGAAAAAAAAAAAAAAAAATCACCTCAAAATGAAATAGCACAGGCAGCAGGTTTCCCAGTGAAACGAATGCAGATGGAGTTTCATCCTTTTTCCTTTCAAGAGTGCACAGATTAAACAAGACATTGGTAACCTAATGAGCCCTGTATCATATTAGAGAGCATCATAAGTACTGAAGAGGGTATAAGAGACGTCTATTAGTCCAGACTGCATTCTCATACTTTACACACCTTAAATTTTCCTCTAAGTCTGTTTCTTGGAATAAACTCACAATTACACTCTGAGCTTCTCAATGTGTGCGTGTGTGGGGCGTAGGGTTCCCTGGACTGTTATCTAAACTGAGAGGACAACACAGCTACAAGGAGATACTGGCAGAAAAGAGACAGCAGACCAGAGGAGAGACACAACACAGAGACTGGAGATATATCTGGGTTTTTTTTTTTTTTTTTTAATTTGATGCCAGGGAGTTATCCTTTGACTAGGGTCATTGCATTGCTAAACAGCAACAGCAAATTAAATATATCTGACTAGATAGCACAAAAAAGGCTTAGTAAAGCAAAAACTTGCTTAGAATTTTTTGCACATACACTCACTTGTATAGATTAATATATCACATTCTGATCTATTGGACATAAAACAGTATCAGTGCCTCATTGTAATGGATACCAATGGAAAGCCAATCCCTCTGCGCTGTGTTCTAATGACTATCAGTATGGGTGTGTTACTGGTTCTTTCTCTGCGCTGGACCTGCCTGCACCCATAAAAAACGGGGATCAAAGTTTCAGGTACGTGCCTTTTATGAATTCACATGACAACTAATTATGTTTGCATCTGTGGTAATGATCAGTGCCCCATTGTAATGGATACAAATGGAAAGCCAATCCCTCTGCGCTGTGTTCTAATGACTATCAGTATGGGTGTGTTACTGGTTCTTCTCTGTGCTGGACCTGCCTGCACCCATAAAAACCGGGGATCAAAGTTTCAGGTACGTGCCTTTTATGAATTCACATGACAACTAATTAGGTTTGCATCTGTAGTAATGACCAGTTTGCCATGTAATTATTAGAACCAAGGACCTAAATGAAAGGGTTTGCAATCTCATAAAAATGAACATTCCATTTGCCGTAAAGCTGGCTAGTGGACTCTTTTAAAATCAAGTGCAAACAACTCCAAGGTGGTTTGGGAATTTAGTTTTTTTTTTTCTTTTGGGTCGGGGGGGGGGGGGGGGGGGGTAGTACAGTTCCAGTTTCAGAAACCCACACGCATATACTAATCCATATTACAAGCTAGTAATATTTTAGATGGGTTTTGGCAATGGCAGCAATTTCCCTAAGGACACATTTCTTTTTTATGCCTGTACAGATGGAAGGAGTCTACTGATCACTGCCTTTCACAAATAATTTAAGATCAGAAGATAGAAAATGTTCAGTGGCAACTGAAATGTTGTCAACAATTAAATGTCCTGCCAAAAGAGCAGCCATATCAGAAAACTTAGATCAGTTATCATACATGAATAGAGTTTTATATATCATTGCAATTATTATCTTGGAGCATTGTGGAATAGCTCATACTGCAATATCCACTATCTACCTATAGATGCTCTGCAACATTCAACTTTATGGAACATATTTAGAGTTGTGCTTGTCAGTCTTGTCTGTCTGAAGGCTACACACAGCAGTCTCTCTGAACCAGGTAACTACAGAAATGTCTCCAGCACATAAGCTCATATAAATAGAATCCACCATAAAACTCTGATGAAGACAACAATTCCCAGATTATTGTGCTACTAGCGAATTTCAAGGCAGCAAATTAAAAAGTAATCCCTAGTCTTTAAAAATGTTGGGGTATGTTCCTGAAGATATTGAAGATATTTATTGGATAAGTTGCTAAAGGTCTTCCACATTACAGAACAAGGCCAAAGGAATTTGACCATCAGGTATACCATAACCTGGATAAACAAAAACTTTCACAAACACTAACAGCACAGTTTAGAGTACCTTTTTCTGATCATTATTGTTTATCTGACAATACATAGCAGCTAGAATTGTTGGGTTTACCATACCTAACAACCCTAAAAAGCTATACCCACAGCTTCCACCAAAGAGCTTTACTAATGACCAGGTTATTCCTGCATGTCTGACTGTACTCTAAACTATACGGCCACCTAGAACATCAAAACAGTATCAAGTTTTTTTTCTTTTAATTGTGCAATGAAACAAATATTTCAAATTTGTCTGCTTTGGTTGACAAAACAAAGCACACTTTCCATATTGTAAAAGGAGTAGTGTGCTGCAACCTTGCAACCAACAGAAATTGGTTTGCTGCTGTTTAGTGCAGAATGAAATCTGAGCTTTAGCTACTATGGATTTCTGCACACCATTGGTTTGTTGCAACACTCTCTCATTCAGGGTTGCTGAACCTTTCTAGCTCTCTGTTCTGAATGTTAATATTTATTTTCTTATAGGAAACTTCAGTCACAGTTCTGCCATCAGTAGGGCTGCCTGTGCTTACACCTCCACAGGAGAGAGACTTTACATCAGTGCTGACAGACAAGAAGAAGCCCCCCATGGCAGCCTAGATATACCTGGCTGATGTTTTCTGACCACGCTGCAAAAACCAAGAGGAAAGGACAAGAGGAATCAATAAGAGTGAGATATACATGTTTTCTGTGGACATGGGTTATGCTCTGTCATCTGTATACAAGACTGTAATTTTTATTCAATGTCATGGCTTAATTTAACTTATACCCAAAGTTGACACCTTTTCTGGGAAAAAAAGGGCCTTGTGATCGCTTTCCTTCTTTTAACGATTCATAAAATTTACAGCATATCTATTTCTACCAGTCAGGTTGGTAAAATATTGCCTAGGTAGCAACCCTATTGGGACAAAAGCTTACCCAAGCTCTACTGCCTAATTCCAGCATACAAGGACAGGAGTTCGGTGCTCAGGCTCAAACTTCCACTCAAAATTGGTAACTTCAAAAGTGATAGCTGGAAACACGTAGACTTCTTATCAATACTTTTATTGGTTACCAAAACATGCAGATACAATATAAAATACAATGCGTTTCGGCTAAGGAAGCCTTCTTCACAACATACAAAATGTAAAATAACACCAAGAAAATATATATCGTAGCCTAGTCCATCACACGCAGGTGTGTCACGTTAATTAAAAACAGTCACATTAATTGATACCACATGGAGATGAAGACAAGTTGAGGAGGATAGCAAAATATACGAAGTCTGCCATGATCTTAAAATGTGTTACATTTTATATTGCACCTGCATGTTTTGGTAACCAATAAAATTATTCATAAGAAGTCTACAAGTTGCCAGCTATCACTTTTAGGTGGCAGCCCTACTTGTACCTCATCTTTACCCATAATCCATGACTAAATGCATATAGCATACTCCATGTGGTTCATCAAAAAAATCATCCCACACTCCATCCATTGGACCTGTAAAATGTTTGCAAATATGTAAAAACACTGAACTAATCTGTTTTTCAGTAAAAGATCACAAACCACATTGATAAACAGAAATGTCAGTATAATGTATTTTATTGTGAGTACAAACCTGTTCTATATAGATAACAGTTGGCCAGGTACCCATAGCCTTAAAAAAGCCTTTTTACATTAGGGAGCAATTTTAGAAAATCCCTTTAACAAAGTAATGTGTTACTTTTCCACTTAATGGCAAAAATTGGATAAACAAAAAAAACAAATGCAGAAGGTATGAAAATTATACATCCTGCATCATTGTGTGCTTTCAGCATCATCACTCAGGCCCATATGGTGCTCCAGCACCTCCAAGACATCAGAGTCACACTGTCAACCATGTATTGAGGGAGAAGAAACTGTCGCAGTTTCTTCAGCTGTTAACTGGTGAGTATGAGTCACAGTATTACTTTATGAGATGCTTCTATTTTCCAGCTGCATTTTTTCATATGTTCTATACCTGCTATAGAATAATGAATTCAACCATTTTTAAACATTAGGCACTTGCAACATTGGGACAGATTTGTAGAGACAAAATAAAGGTGTTGCTGTTGTCCAGGGCATCTACTGATTTTTTTTCTTATAATACTTACCTGCTCTGTGCAATGGTTTTACCCTGAAACTCCTCTTCTGGGCGCATCTGGCTCCTCCTCTTCGGCGAGTGCCCCCAATGGAAGCAGCTTCCTATGGGGGGCACTTGTGTGGGCTTGATCCGGAGTCTTTCTGCCTGCATCCATATATGCACATAGCTCAGCCCCCCCCCCACTCCCTCCTCACAGGATTCGATTGGCAGGAGCAGGAGCCAATGGTTGCGGCCTCCACATCCAGTGAGGAGAGAGAGCTGGTGCTCTGGGGTACAGAGCTGGATCGAGATTGGGCTATGATAAGTATGGAGGGGGGGAATCTTGGTCACAGAAGGTTTTTTTTTACCATAAGGTTTTTTTCCCTGAATGCATTATCTGCATTAAGGACCAATTCACACCAGAGCGATGATCTGTGTTTTAGTGCAGCTGAAAAACAGTAATTTCCAATGTGTCCTATTTACACCATAATGCTGCGTTGACCTGCGTTGCACTATAATTCAACATGTATGTATTTTAGCGCAATGCAATGGATGTAAGTGGATGTCAACACAATGAACAGGATGCTCTCATGAAAATTCAGTACGCTTTAACTCTCACTAAAATGCATGTCAACTGATGTCATAATGTAGGTCAACAGAAGTCAGCACGTGACTAAAATGGAAAGAAATGTGTGAACTGGCTCTAAGTCTTTGGAACCACTTTAAGATGTTTTATCTAGTGACACAGCTTCTGTAACAGACCTAATTTAAAGTACATCCTGTAAAGAAGATAGTGAATACTCACCTGTTCTGCTGCCAGCATTGCCAGTGTTCACCTTTGGTAAGCTGGAGTTCCTCGTGCGATCCCCTACATCAACACTTTGTCATGTTATGACACAGGGCCTGGTGGATGGAACTACAACACTTGGGTTACAGGCATCTGATAAACCTGGAAAAGTTGGATGCTGAAAAGTCTGCTGGAGTGCATAGCTCTTGCAGACAGAAAAGTTTAGACTCACTACCCCTTGCAGAGGCAAGTATATTTTATTTTGCAGGGAATTTTTTTATTTTATTCACAGGTGACTGAGACGATTTCAGGGGAAAAGAAACAGTATAGGGTAGTGTAGCTCTTCATCATCTACCAAAGTCTAAAATAATTGGACTGACAGTTAAAGGCTTGTTAACTCCATAGCACTTGCATTTTTAAATTGTGCTGTGTTGTAATGGGTTATTTTTTTTAACCACTCGAAGGTTATAGCATTTACAAATGGCGGTATAGATACTGGAATTATTGTTTTTTATATACAGTATACTAGTAATGGCGGTCATCAGTGACTTATAGCGGGACTGCGGTGGACATTCTGACACTGGGGGGGAATGACTGTCACTGACATCCCCAGTGACACCAATACAGTGATCAGTGCTAATAAAAAGCATTGACACTGTACTAATGGCACTGGGTAGGAAGGGGTTAACATCTGGGACAATCAAAGGGTTAACTGTGTGCTGTTTTACTGTGTGCCGTGCTGCGCTGTGTGAGTGTGCTTTACACTGTAAGCACACTGCTTTGTATGGCTCTGCATAGCATCATTGCAGTCATTTTTTTTTCTCTTTTTATTTTTACTGGAATGCTCTTACTATGCATTGCATCTTGTTGTGAGTGTACATTGTAACATGCTGTTAAAAATTGCTATTTTTTTTTAGTGCACAGCAACTCAGCGCATTGGTGTAACTAAAACAATAGGACATCAAGCTATTTGGCTTTTCCTTGCATTTGGACTGTGTTGGGTAATGCACTCTAAGGCAGCACAATAGTACTAGTGTTCTAAATATTTCTAGTGTAGCCCAATGAGATCATTATGCTTTGGTTTGGTTCATGCCCACTAAACCAAACCATGCCCACTAAACAATAGCATTGTTGGCAGCCATTGACAACTGCAGCAAGGCAACATTGTGTACACGTCATTCAGAGGTTTCTTATCACAATACTATTAAATTATAGAATGATTGATAATGTTCTGTTCTATGACAGATGCCCTGCTGAGAAAGAAAGTTGGTGAAAACACCTCAAGTTACAAGCGTACCCCAACTATTTCCCCTGCAAAGGTACACATTGCCTTTACATGCAAAACCTGCAGTGACATTCATGTGGAACCTGGAGAACGGAGGGAGCTGCAGGTCTATAAAATGGTCAGTCTTTACAAGATTCTCTACTTTGTTTCTTAAATATGAAACTTTCTAAATATATACAAGGAGTCAAAATATTCATAGCCGTTTACTGCTTTATCTCTGCCGAATAGATTTCTCCAAACTTCCTATATGTTCACCAGAAAAGGAAGTGCGGGAAAATCTCTCAAACAGGTAGCAACAAAAATTTTAATTTGACAGAGGTTCTAACTCTTCAAATCTAATATATTTAACCCAAGCTCATGAAAAAAAAATGTTTGGTCTGGTGGTTCACCTCAAGGTTCTTTTTTAAGTGCTTGTAAACCTCAGACATTAAATATGAACAAAGCATATACCTCTAGAGCAGGGGTGTCAAACTGGCGGCCCTCCAGCTGTTGCAAAACTATAAGTCCCATCATGCCTCTACCTTTAGTAGTCTTGCTTGCAACTGTCAATCTTGCAATGCCTCATGGGACTTGTAGTTTGCAACAGCTGGAGGGCTGCCAGTTTGACACCTGTGCTCTATCCTGTGTACTTGTCTCAGTCCAGAGCACTAAGTGTCATTTCTGTCTGCTGCCTCATTCCTCTGCTAGCTACATGAGTCACTTCTGACAACGTTTCTTGACACCATGAGAAAAGTGGTGATGGGAGGACACCCTCTGTTCTGTTCCTGTGAAGGGGGTGTGTCCCTTCCCTCCAATCAGCTCTCAGAGCACTATTCACTGAGTGTAACTTCAGCTCCCCACTCCCTGCATTTCAGAGCAGACAGATGGCTGTGAATATACAGGTACAACAGTGTAGGAGGGTTTGTTTCATCACTGTATACCACCTGAGGCAAGTCATGTCCTGGGTATGTGTAAAGAAACCCATAATATATAGTTTTCCATTGCTGACTTCTTTCTGATAGTGCTGGTTCCTTGTGGTCTCTGACATGAATATCTATAAGGGTCACTGGTCCATATACTTCTTCCTAGTCATTCTACATAGAAAGTATTAAATATACTAAATCAGTATGACAAGCAGGCAGTTGGTCAGCAACAGCATCCGTCAATTTTTCTTATAAGACTTTACACAGTAATTAGGTCTCTCTCCCTTCAGTCAATTTTTAGAGTTTTGCAGACACATCAAGGTCTGCTTTAAACAAAAGTTTAGCCTTAGTTATACTTTAAAGCAGTGGTTGCCAAATGCGGCACTTTGCTTGCTTATATCTGGGCCTTGGGTCACTATTTCATCCACTGATACCAACAATGAGGCATAATTTCCCCCACTGAAACCGATGAAGGGGCACAATTCCTCCTAATAACACCAATGATTGGGCAACATTTCTCCCAATGACACCAACAATGGGGCCCGTTGGCACCAATGATGGGACACAATTCCTCCCACTGACACCAAAGATAGGGCATTGTTTTTTTCCCCACTGTCCTCCGGACCCTTTTCTACTCCCAATGGACACAGTACAGTCCCTCTAAAGTTTGGAAGACAGTAAATTGGACTTTTGTTTAGAAAGTTTGGCGACTACTGCTTTAAAGCATGCTGCACAATTTAACTCAAGTTATATGATCTTTTTTTCCAGCAAACAGCCCCCTTGCCCTCAGTACTTACTGAAATTACAAATGCCAGATGTTTGCAGCTCTCTACTTTTGTTTACAGGTCTTTTCCTAACCCAGCTGGCTGCAATACCACACAAACATCGATCACTTGTATAGTTTTTTTGTGGACTCCTACTCTGTCTGTTAACCTATAGTGAATTGACCTCAATGACTCATGCAATGCATGGGCAGTTTATTTTAGTTCCACTTTATATTAGTTTTTAAAGTGTTACTAAATCCACAACAGTACAATCAGTCTGTATATGCAGTAAAGCCAGTCTGTATATGCAGTAAAGCATGCTTGTTATACTCACTGTGGAACCTAAGGGGTTAATCCTCTGCATTGTGTACAAAAGGCTGTTTGATCCTTTCTTCTCTGTTCCTCCCCTTTTTCAAGCAACCACCACTTATTTCCAGACTGAACTCGTAGCCATTCTGCAAATGCTCAGTTTGGTGTATATTGCTGGAGGTTTTTTTTACTCAGGAGAGTGCATGTGATCAGCACAGGGCCAATCAGCACTGTCCAGCAAGAGGTCAGGGGATTTCCATCCTCCTAGAACAGAAAGTAAACTCCTCCTACAAGCTTTAGCTAGTGCTGGGCTGAACACTGATAGAAGTCACAAGACTGCTCTAACTGCTGATGAGAAAAGGTATTTAGCAGTTTATATTTAGTAAAATAATTGCACTTCCATGTTCTGTGTACTGTGGGAGACCAGATATAGTGGCTGCAGGATTCTGGGTGTAGTAACACTTTACGTTTTGTTAAACAAAAAAAAACAAAAAAATAAATCAGCTCAGGGGACATTGCTTGCTACCCGTGTGACGTGTCCCTTGAGCTGCAGTCTCATGGTTTAGTTGAAATCTTCTTCCAATGTCTGCACGCACCCCACCCCTGCCACCATAATTATCTGATGTGGGGGGGGGGGTTTATAGAGCTGCTGACTATAATTACCCTTTACGGCATCTCCATTCATAGAAACTGTAACAATGTAATGAATGAAACATGATCTATGAATGGAGAAACAAAACTTTAACCGGAGTTCTAACAAATATTGCACTAAAATATTAACAGATGTCTTACGGTGGAACTTTCAGTAACCTTACATGTTTGCATAAATAAATTCCTTGGATGTCACAATATACACAAGTCTAATTGAAAAAAATATTTCCTCAGTCTCCTCTAACCCAGTGATCAGTTTGCAACAGTGTAACTTTGCAAGTTAAAAGGTTATTGGGAGCTGATCTGTGTCAGACTTTAGTGCACACAACCAAGAACTGCACACATACTAGAATTTCCATGATTCCAACATCTCAATCCAAAAAGTTCATGCTAATCCTGAAAAATGCCCAAATAAAGATGGTGTCATGTTTTTGAAGAGAAATTAATGCATTGTCTGGGGAAGTACTGTAATCTCTATGAACGGAAATACATACCTGGGATTGTTCCACTTACACATTTCTTAGGGAGTATCAAAAGCCAAAACTCTGTTTTTGATAGAACTGGAAGGGGTTAGCAACACTGTCAAGTTTTTTTGCTTTACCCTCCCATTTTGTCTTCAAAACTAAAAGTGGATTGGGAATAAAGGGAAAGCCTTCAAGGGGAATACTTTTTTGTGGTTAGAAGAGTAGAGGAGATTTCCCTCATTCTTGAAAGATTTCCTCTTACTTCTGTCTACGGGACAACCCATGAAGGAAAATCCCCCTGCTGGAAGCCGACAGTGGTTTCAACACTTCCCTATTCTATCCCCCCCAAAAAAACTTGGCTTTAGATGTACTTGACCATAAAAATCTTTATCTCCTCTTCAAAGCTTCTTACTTTAGAAAGCTCTTGTATTCCACTAATACTAATTCTATGTTTGTATGTAGTCTCACCTAGAAGGCTCATTCTACAGAGGAGCTGGCCTGAACCTCACCAGTGGTCGATACACAGCTCCTTACACTGGACTCTATACCTTCTTTGCAAGGTTACAAGTTGGTGAGTCACAGATTGGACACAATGTACCAAACTTATTAATTTTAAAATGTAATGAAAGTCAGTTTCAAGCCTTATTGGCCAAATACTGCTATCCTGAGCAATAATGTATGATAACACTAAGCTGAGCAAATCAGAGTATGATTTATTTACTGAGAACCATTTATTTGGATTCTGAAAATAGCTGTAGAAAGGGTATTATTTATAAACAAAGTTAGGTAAATGGTATATAAAAAGTGAGCACTTACACCAATCAGGTGTTCTGCCAAGATATGATTTATAAGATCAGTACAGTTTATCCTCAGCTATGTACTGTGATGGCTTTCCTGCCTACATTTACATTCAATGGATTACTTAAAGCGGAGTTCCACCTAGAAAAAAAAAAAAAAAGCAGCTACAAAAACTGTAGCTGCTGACTTTTAAAATACAGCCTGTCCCTCGGTCCAGCAGTGTCCTCACCATAGCTGGTTTCACCGGCCGTCTTCTCTCCCTGGCGCCGGCATCTTCACTGTGGGCACCCAGCTGTGACAGCTTGTGGCTTCACAGCCGGGTGCCCACTGCGCATGCGTGAGAAGCGTTGCGGTTTGTGAATGGCCCCGTAGTCTTGTGGGACCTGTCAAGTATCTCAGTAGACTACGGGGAGGCCTAGACGATTGCAGTGGAAGTGGGTACCTGCCAATCCTTAATGGGGAGCGGGGGACAAAGCCTTAAAGCGGAACTTCCCCTTTTGGGTGGAGCTCCGCTTTAAGTAGGCATTCACATTTCAAGGTTGTTGGTAAGTCTCGATAGCAATACATTTCACAATTTGATTGTAGGATATCTTTTAGAATTTCCAGCGATATTGCAAGGGCCAGCCTAAACAACCCATCAAATATTGTATCTAATCAGTCTCCCACTCTACATAGTTTTTTGCAAATTTAAATGAGTGAACATTCAGAGTGCTTTGTGTGCTCAGCTTTAAGTAGATTGTAAAATCTGATTGGAACGTGTATTAACAGATTCAGAGAAAAAGGAAAAAAAAAATACATAAGTGTACAGAAGGGCCTTACTATATGTTCTGAAAAGTTCTAAAAGGTTAACAAGGAAGGGTGTTATTTATTCTCCTTGCTTTTAAACTAGTTCTAGATTGTTGATGAATGGTTGCCTGAACTGGTCATTTGCAGCTGGTTTGGGTGAAGATCCTGACTATGGGGAAAGGCAGCTGATCAAAGGCTTTGGGCAGTTTCTACCCAAAGATACACGATATTGGTAGCATCCACCTATGCCATCCTCCTACTCTATAGGGATAAATACAAGTGCTCAGCTTAGCACAGGGCTTGACAAATCCAAGGTCACCGTGGAGACTAGAAATTGGGTCCTGGATTCGCACACAGCCTCCATTGACTTCAATACAAAAACTCCTGTCAATAGCAATCGTGTGTGAACATTTATCTCCACATGCCATGATATCACTTGTGAGTCTGGAATGCACCGCTACAAACTCGAAAGGACCCTTTTTGCAATGGCACTCAAAACACAATACATGGGGAGCGCATCTGTGTGAGCCACCTCAACAGGAACACAAAATTAAAATTTTAAAGCCTGTCATGTGAATCTGTGAGTTTGAAAATGCATCCAAAATTACATGTGTGAACCAGGGCGACTCCATTCACACCTGGGCATTTTGGGATCTTGGGAGAGTCACTGAGATCGCAAAATGTATGTTCAGGTGCCATTATGTTCACCGGCACCTAAATTGTGGTGCGCATTTGCCGTTCTTGTCGCATGGCAAATCGCATCACGTAAAGCTTGTTGCCCAAAAGTTGCTTTGCCCTAGGTGCTGGCAACCCATGCTATGCTAAAAACAAGCAAACAAAAACAAACTTGGCTCTTAACTTTTCTAGCTGGCTCCTAGATTCAAGGCAAATTTATCGAACCCTGGCCGAGCATAGCATCATCTATGAGAGAGAGCAGAGGGCATTTGGATGGTGCTTGCATGGTTAACTGATCTCCAGTTTCTATAGACACAAAACACCCATTGGTAAGAAGTGTAGCAGATGAGTCAACAAAGGCAATGGGGATGACTTACTAAACCTGGAGAGTGCAAAATCTGGTGCAGCACTGCATAGAAACCAATTAGCTTCCAGGTATTTGGGTTAAAGCTTATTTGAACAAACTGAAGCTGATTGGCTACCATGCACAGTTGCACCAGATTTTGCACTCTCCAGTTTTATTAAATCAAATGACTCAGTGACAGGCAACCAGATGAGAAGGTCATATGTATAATGTAAACTGTTTTTCTGGGTCACTATATGTTATTCTTAGTGTAAACTGCTGATCCAGCTTATCTGGAGGTTAGCACAGATAGCTCAGGGCTGAACGACATGTGATGAGGATGAAAACCAGCAAAGTACCACAAGCAACCATACTGTACCTCAGGGTTTCCAATTTGTGAAAATTAGCACAAAAGAGAACAGAGCACATGGCTAGAATGCCGGAATTTAGCATTAGACTTCATTCACACTAGCACTCCTAAGTTTAGATAAGGTAATCATCTGGGAAGTATAAAGAAGTTAATAGCTTTTATGCCTCATAGGTCACTTTTTCCTGTAGTTAGATGTTTTTTCTCTTAAACTGGGTACATACAGTCCAAATAATTGGCCAGTTCAGCAGGAACCAGCCAACATTTGGGCCATGTGTACAACTGTCCTTCCGCCAGAAGCCAGTCTAAGGACTAGCTTTGGTCGCAGGGATTTGCTCGAAAACCAGCAATCGGATCAGCTCTCGCAGCCAACACACTGTGAGAGTTGATTAGTCTGTTCTGGCAGGGGCAGATTTAAAGCAGGTTTGGCCATGTTTAGTGTGTCTAGTCAGATCTTGTACACATAAAATGCCATTTTCTCCAAAACGCAGTTAAAGTGACTGCACCTAAACACTCAGTGTGAATGGCACCACTGAAAAATCATTACATGCATTTCTAGGAGTTTAGAAATGTTCTCAATTCATATGAAATGCAGGAATGAAAGCACAGGAAGATAATACAGTGATATCTATTAAAGGGAAGCCTTTGGAGGATTTGATTGCTCTCTACCCAAAGTATATACTATATATAACCTTATTAACAGGCAAAGTTTTACAGTTGAGTTTATCTCCGCTTTAAGTAAACCTGTTGAGGAAAGTTCCTTGCCAAATTTCCTTATCACATGCTAGATATTTCACCATCATTCTGAACCTTTGGCTTCAATGACTATCTATATACTTGTCCCAGGTCAGTGACTGAAGCAAGAGGGTCAGTGTAACAACAAAGCAACTACCCTTTTTAAACAAGGTCACTTTTCTTTCATGGTAGGCTTCCTTTAAATAGATGTATATAGTCTAATTTAGTAAATCCCTATTTTAAACTCATTCCTCAGAATTGTCTAATAGAAAAAGCATCTGTTTTGCTTGTGACAACTAACTACAGCTATCCAATCGTTTGTCTAGTCTGGATAATAATAATAAAAAAAAAAAAAAGATTCTGGTTGCCATGGGTAATAGGCATTTCTTTCCCGAGGAGGATTGTTATTAGCTAGATTATAACAGTAAAATAAATAAAAATTGCAGCGCTGATCAAAAAAAAAAAGTCCAGTAAATCAGAAAAAGTTCCAGTAAAAAAAGTCCCAAATGTATTCCCACAATCCACCATCACCTAGGGCCCCTGATGACGTCAATTGGATGACGAAACGTGTCGGGTGGAGCTTTGGCGTGACGTCATCACGTTTTTTGGAGGGACAGTGGCCATTTTCCTGGATGGAAACTTGATTCAAATGCTGGTAACCATCCAAAACATTGTACGAGCAACTTGTAATTAAACAGGGTGATTTTATTAATTAAATGCTACACTATGAGTGGCCTTTTTCTTTTATTCCTTATCTATATATTGGATGGGAGTCTTCATTTAGGACCGTTTTTCAGATCTTTGAAAGGAGGATTGATAGCTATCTGGATGAGGATTGCTGGTTCCATGATCTACACATATTCATCTCCCGTTTGAGTTGCTTATATTGACCGGTGTGTTTTGGTCAGAATTTCTGGTAAGAGGCTAACCATTCGGGTGTCCTGGTGATGGTGGATCATGGGAATACATTTGGAACTTTTTCTGTTTACTGGACTTTATGTTTTTTTTTTATTAGAGCTGAAATTTTTATTTGTTTACTATTATGTCTGTTGCCTGATGTGCGTACAGCTTTTCTATGTAATTTTGTATTGTCACATGATTAGTTTATCTACCCAAGCGCAGGTTATTTATATTTGATTAGCTAGATTATTCCTACAACTTTTTCAGATGTCGAGCCTACTGCAGAAAACCTGGCTGTACTTCCACAGCAATGGCTGTACTTCCATAGCAATGGTAGTGTCACTGCTGCCTATAATCCTATGAAATACAGAGAATTGTATTAATATAAACACAAACCCTCTCCTGTCAATAATCAAGTTATGATTTATCGTTTTCTTAGCATATTTTTTATATAAATGGATGTGTAGCTTTTTTTAACAGTTTTTTTAATTTATTGTTTTCTAGATTTTCAGAAATACACCAATGACCATCTTCAAGGATTTTTGCGCATACAGCTCTGCATCCTTTCCCTGTGTCAGGACAACCTGTAAGTCATTTGCAATAAATACATCTTTTTACCAAAATCAAATAACTGCAGTAAAACATCTAAATACATATATGCACACTTTATGTGTGAGCATATACATTATGTGAATATACAGTATACAAAAAAAAAAAAAACACACAGCCATTGTTCCAAAAAAATAATTGTAATTCTTTTCAGCCACTTTCCCCCTCAGTTTTCAAATGAGTTTAGCTAATATAGCATGTTATCGCTTTGTTTTTTTTGTTCTAACTACCCAAAACAACCACATCCCACCCCCAGCACATGAAACACGGTATGTCTGTAGCAAGCAATTCACTCTGTTTCTTACGCAATCACTTGAACACACTTACATTAAAGGGTGTCTATATATGCCTGTATCTAAACATACTAATCGAAGACTTCAAGTGGAACTGTAGTCAGAAAATTAAGTCCTCCTAGATCACTTTAGGCTGGCCCCTTTTTCAGGTGTTTAAAATGCAGTAATACACTGTCTCACACTGCTCTCCACATGCTCAGTTGCTCTCAATTTTGGGCACTGCCAAATTTGTCAAGGCCGATCTGGTGACAGACTAATTATTTAATGTAAAATACTGGGTTTCAGAAAAATGGCAGCCTCCAGCGAGAACAAAAAAAGAACAATGCTGCAATTTACAGCACACCCTAATTTTAGTAGCATAATTATAAATGTAGAATGTATGTCTCTTGCTAAACAACATTTTTATGTACAAGTTGTTATGGGTAAAGTTCCACTATAAAGCAGAGCTCCGGGCTCTCCCAAACAAATTAAAAGTCAGCAGCTATAAATACGCTCCCCCACACAAAAATTGCCAAAGGTGGCAATGGAGGGGGGGATGCAAACAAACAAAACTTACTGCTTTGGGTGAAGTTCCACTTAATGTACCTCTAATCTTTTCATTAGATTCCCCCTTCCTTGCATACCAGCATCATAATAAGTAAGCAAATGCCTCTACTATTAGGCAAAATAAGCACTTCTGACTGCCTGTGGATTTTAGGCTCAGGCGAGGTGTCCAGACAGCAAAGATTTCAAATTGTACTGTTCAGAAAACAAAGTCAAGAAAAAAAAAAAAAAAGACACAAGGAGCTGCATGGTACACAGAACTCTAATAGAGCCAGGGACTAGCTAGACAAAACATCCGCAGGAATGAGTGGGCCATTACTATCTTTTTTAGCTAGCAGTAGAATATTCAAATCCAAGTCCATCAATGAAGTCAGACATCTGAAAGTATAAAACTGTACACACTAGCTCTTAATATATCCAGAAAAAGCAAGTAACTCTGCAGCTATATTTTACTATGGTATTTTTTTTCTTTCTCTGTATTTTGAAAGCCGTGATGACAGGCCAAGGTGAACCCTGATCTGTTTACATTAGGCTGGTTTGCATCTACACTGTAACTGCAGTCATATGCTTGCTGGGGTGAATGTCTTTACTGCCCACATTCATAAGTGTGGATTTCTAGGCTGGATTGCATTCACTGGAGATCTCAAATTAGTACAAGTTTGCAGCCAGTCCTTGTCTGCAGTTACTTTGCAGGATGCAAACAGAAAAAGGTTTATACTAGCCTGTGTCTGTAATGACAGCTATCAAAGCACAGAAAAGAAAATCCTGGAAGTAACAGATTCATAAAGTTGCTTGAAATAGGTTGGAATAGTAAAGTTAAACCTTGAATACTCAGTGGTAACACTTTTTTTCTAGGTCCCTGGAACATATCCTCAGCTTTACAGCCAATGAGGTAACAGCCACAATAACTTTGAATGGAGTCTTGCATATACAGGTAAATCTGGAAACAAAAGGGCCTATTATTAAACTACTTTCAGTGTGTTGCTAATGTAAAAGATATTTTGACCTACATCTGAAAAAGCAGCATTGTATTCAATTCAGTGTGTGAAGCATATCTCATATTAATCAGTATCACCGCAAAATTAACTGCATGTGTTTGTCGCAAATTATACATATTTGCTGACTGATCTTTTTTCATTGTCCCTCCTATACCAGACAACCTTTTCATTGTCCCTCCTATACCAGTATTTAAACAGAACTATAAACTAAAGGGGCACTAAGCAGCTACACTGGCACCCCCACCTTTCTGGAACTTCAAACATTTCCTGCTCACCAGCAGATCACTAGTTCTTGGTATGAGCTGCAAGCAGTATAAGTAAAAGGCTGAATGCCTTTAAAGCCTATGGAGTGTATCTAATTGAGAACGTTCCAGGGTTAGAGGAGTCCTGTAACAAGTCAAGTGGCAATAAAATGAATATCGCTTGCTTTGTGACTCTGCAGAGAGAACAAAGTTGTATATTATAAATGAGCTGGAGGATGAATTTAATTTAAGCAGCAGTATGGCTGCATATATTACATTTTATGAAAGTGGCAGTTCCTAAAGCTTTCCAAATACTGGAATTATCCATTTCCATCTGCATCCCACTTTGAATGTTGGCCTTTAAAAGATCTATCCAAACACACATATGCACAGATCTGAATATTCAAGATACTTGGCAAATTGTCCTACAGAGTTGACACAATGGAGGAAGTCACATGCTAAAAGTGTAAATGTATAGAAAAGTAATTGTGGGATCAGTCTCCATCCTGTCTTGTCAATCTTTTCGTGTTCTTTTAGTGCATAGCAATGTTACCACACACCGAAGGCTAAATTATAAGCCGATTAGGTTTAAAAGTAGATAAGCTGTTAGCCAACTGACTAGTTTACATAAAAATTGGGATGCATGAATCCAATCAATCATTCTCCTCTTTACAGGCAGCATAATGTCACTGTACCATGCTCTGATCTCTAAATGTACCCACAGATATGGTGTGATCATAGCACAATGAAGATCCAGGTCTTTGGTACTTTGCATGAAAAATAACTTCTTTCTATTCTCTCCAGGCAGGACAATATGTGTCACTTTTCCTTGAAAACAAGATGGACTCTTGGATCACACTTCTAAAGGGCTCAGACTTCAGTGGAGTTCTGCTTGGACAATGATCTACAGAAAAATCCCAGGAACTGGCGCTCAAACTGCAGTTGCAGTAGCAGCACTTTTGTAGAGTACAGGCGAAGCAGTGAAATTGCCTTTTCCTTACTAAAAGACTGATATATTTTCTTAAACTACAATTACTGTGCATATATCTATTAATGGCATCACCAGCCAGAACTGACTATCTTATTCTGTCTACAATAAATAAATTAATTACCTAGGAGTGTGCCTGCAGACATAAAAAAAAATAAAAAATTGCAAAACAAAACCAAGCATTGCTATAAATAAACCACGTAAGCAAAATACACAATGCATGCTTGGCACCCTGTTATTACTGCAAATGGTGTGCAAAAATCAATATCTAAAAACCAAAAAGAGCAAAATTACTTTTCCTTAAAGAGTAATTCCACTTTTGCTGAGAAAAAAAAAAAATTCTCTTTGGGTGATCTATGTACATTGCAAGTACTTTAAAGAAACTTTGTTCCAGATTCCTAACTTTTGTTATTCTGAAGAAACAGCTGTTTGTCTGTTTCCATGTGGAAAGTGAATGTAAATCATGAGTGATCTTATAAATATTAATCAGCTGCTGCACTTGCAGGGTTCTAATGAGCAAAGTGGCAGGGTTAGAATCGCTTTAGACATGATTTCCCCTTGGGAGTATCTCATCAAAAATGAAATTTTCGTTTCAGGGAATGCCCAAAATCTGACTTGTATCTTAGACTTCTGGGAAAGTCAGTCAGCCAATGACACAAGCAGGAAATGACATTTTGGGGGGCATTCTGTATATCATCTGTGTACAGAACGCCTATAGGTTACCAGAATGCTTTGCATTTTACAGAAAATTACAGAGCTGCAGATTTAAAAAGGAAAAGTAATTTTAATAAAATGTAATTACAATATGACTTGTGTAGCAATTGTACATAGTACATTTTTTCTCATGAAAGTGGAGCTACCCTTTCTTATATTTTAATATATGGTGCTGATCTAATAAAAAGTGGAGATCAAAATTGCATATTTTCATTACAGTTAAAGTTGACCTTGTACCTAAATAGTAAGGTCCCCTCATGTAGCATGGCCTTTTCCTTCCCAACACACTACATCGAAGGTGAATGGGGGAGGGGGATTACATAAACTAATTTCCCCTTTACCTGGCTTCTGCCAGCAGTGCCTAGAAGAAGGGTAATGCCAATCCCAAGGAAGGTCGATTACCCAACTCTTGCAAAAAGTACAAAAACTGCCCAGTTTCAGCATATACAATCTTCATAAAATGTCCCCCAGGGAACAGTTATCGATTGGGGCAATGAAAAATACTGCGAAGAACTTACAAAACAAAACTTTCTTTTTTTACTGAAATAAAAGCATAAAATCATCATTCACACACCAAAAATACAAACATTTCCCTCCATATCCTCTATCTGTATAAAACATAAATCACAGGCTTTCAAATCAAGCATGTCCTGATCTGAATGTAAAAACCAACAAAAAGTTCTCCAGTACTCGTTTGGCAATCCTCTAGAAGGGTTAAAGCACTGTGCTTCCTGAAATCTTAGCTGTACAACAGATTGGTATAGTTATAGTACAGTGGAAGATGTAGATGTGTTGCATTAATAATTAATTTCTCTGTAACACTCAGCTACCCATACCATGGATATCAATGTTGAATCTGTACAATGAGTATGGTTACATTGTCGGCAGCACCTCGTCGCACTGCTTCATTAGCAAGGCGATGGCAGGCAGATTCATAGCTGGTATCCATGTCTCCAGGATCCTCTTCTGCCTGGGCACTTTCATCCTGTGAAGAATACAGGAGGAAAGTCAGCAAGGTGACAGCTAGAGATACAAATTATGTTTCACAGACTATGCATACTTTACCTGCACTTGGCTTAAGATGAAGTTTACAGCTTCTTCTGCTGAGAAAGCTTTGAAAAGACCATCACAGGCCAGCAAAACAAACCTCCAAAACAAACATCAGTATTATGTCACTTTTGTAACTTCAGTGCACTTAAAAAAAATAAACACAACACAAAAAACTAAAACTAAAAAAAACCCAGAAGACACTAGTATTAAGGCAAACAAAAAATTTAGACACATTGAACCTCATTTCACACTGATGGGGTGCAGGATTCGCAGTGATTCCTGTGTGCTTTTCGCACCGCTTCACTATTGTACTCTGTTCATGCGAATCGCTGTGGGTAGCAATGTTAATGACACCCCAAAAAAAGTTTGCGAAACACAGTGTGATTGGCTGAATCAGATCACATGGATGTGAACACCCAAGCAATCCAATTCCAGTGCAGCAAAAAAAGGTGCATGCACTTTTTTGTGCATGTGCGGTGCGATGTGAGCCAAACAAAATGAATGGGCTCAAATCACACTGCAAAGAATCGCATGTGATATGAACAGGAATGCAATGTGATTCCTAGCTGTCTGAGTCAATTGTTGTTCCCTGCACTGCATCAGTGTGGACATAGCATTACGGTTCATGCACACTGGGCATAAAAAGTGCTGCTTATACAGGACTGTGGCATTCTTTTTCTTCAACCTGTATAAGCAGCTCTATGTTACTCTATTTGGCCATGCACATTAGGGAGTGTACAGGTATAGCTGCAGAAAAGTGTTTTCAGGCAGAAAAAAAAACTCCATCAGAATTGCATTTTTGAGAGGAGTTTTTAGGCAGAAAAAATGCTAGATATGCATAAACGCGGCATTTAGGAGCATTCGGCATTTTCAAGTGTACATTCATTACAGTGAAACATGAGCAGAGGAAAATGTTTTGGGAGCAAAATGCTTATAAAAGCAAATGCCTATAAACTCTCAAACTGTCTTGCAATATGATCCACTATGAGCATTTTTATGCTGCATATTATGACAAAGGTTCTGACATTTATTTTTTTCAGCCGCCTAGTGTGCATGGACCCTTAGGTCCTCCACAGCAGTGCATACACAAAGTAATCTATTTGCATGCAGATCCAAAACATTATTATTGTCTAAGCTATGAAATGTGCTATAATAATCTGTGTGTGATAATGCTTATGGCCTCCCTTGATGACCTTTATTAGGGCAAAAGTCAACAGTATCATCTACATTAGTTAATAAAAAACAAACGTTTTATTTCTTTGGCCCAACTATTATGAAACTCAAACAAAATCCTTTTTCAGTTTTGCAAAATTACAAATGGCCAAGTCTCCTGAACTACCAAACGATTCCTCATATTAAAAGATCTTTTCACCTCGCTCCCTGGATGACGCTCTTCCCTACAACCACAATGAGAGCTCAAGGAAAGAGATCCCTCACTTCTTTGCTGTACTCTCCATGATATAAAATTAAAGAATAAATCCTGAAGACTGTTGTTAAAAGTCAGTAGATGTGGAGTTATACTTTACATTAAAATATCTTTATTTACCTGTCATTGTCAGTGAGAGGACACCTTTTCACATCCGGGATGTTTATGACACCACAACGTTTGAACTGTCCATCTCCGAGTGAGCGAGAAACCTCCAATACACCCAAAACTCTACCATCTCTGTGGAACACAAGGATCATGAGATTTAAAAAGATAAATAAATGGAGATATGATTTGAGAGCACTTGAACAAATAAACAAAATGACTGAATGGAGCATGCCTGCTACAAATTTCATGTCTTATAAAGAAATCATAGGAGGAAAAGTAGAACTTCCAGTTTAGGAGAAATTCCAATTAAAATTAGTGCAGAAGTGATTTCTCACCAATGTCCTCAATTTGTCTTTTAAACCCAAGTGAGATTCTGATGGAAATTGTTTTTTTGTATTTGTAGGCATGCAAAAAAAAAAAAAAAAAAAAAAAAGTAGTGTTCGTGCATTGTGAAGTTCCATAAGGCAGGGTAAGATAGTGTGGAGTCTTCTGTGAAAGTGATTGCAGCAGGGAGGCATCTCGCTCTCCATATGTTGGTGAAATTTTTTCTGCAAATTTGACCCTCGGGCAAGGCAGCAAGTGTAGTGTGGCTTAGACTGATAACTGATTGGCATTTCACAGAAATTGCTTATTCTGCAGAACAACTGTACACACCCCAAAGGCAGAGGCTCCTCCACCCAGAAGAGGGATGTGATGGGATGATTTAAGATAAACACCATTAAGTAACACTTAAGAGGTGTCAGATACAATCTGCCAGTTTAATCATTACTTATTGGGGGAATTTTGTAATAACAAGGCAGGTTGTGCAGCTCACCTCACGTTTCCCCCTGCTTTTTGTATTCTCATCCGTTCTTCATACTGTGTGGGATTGTGTTCTCTACTCAAGCTTAATACAGTTGGCTTCTGAGTTTCCTCATTCATTCTACACATTATCGCCTAAATACAAAGAAAGAAATTAAGATCACAAAAAGGATATAGAACATTAGACATCAGGCTTACTGTGACAGACTCAAATGGGACAGGGGCTTTTGAAGGGGACTAGGGGCTAGCCTTCTACCTACTGATTATGGCCCATGGAGAGAGCAGATCATTCTCGAATGATGGACAACAACATGATTAACGCTGAGAGCGAGGCTTGAAATAATTCTCTGCATAAAGACAGTAAGTCTTCCATTCTGGAGTGTATGGAAAGATGTAACATTAATCTTGCACAGGTTAATGGTCAGAGGAAATATGGTGGCCCTCAAGCAGGATGGGCTGGAGAAGCTCCGCCATTTGGCACAGAAATATTTATCAAACAATCTCTCTCAAGTAATCCAAGAAGATAAAATAATTCCACTTTTTCAAACTAGGAATTTTGTATGAGTTTTGTTTTATGATGGACAGATTATACAAATGAAAGCAAACACCTGAAAGACAGCGTGCGTAATGGGTGTATTCAGAGTGTAGGCTTATTGCCAGTCAATCTGGGGAGGGTTCCCTAATTAATTAAAGCATTTCCTGGATACCTGGCTGTTGATTAGCTTAATGTTAATTAAATCACTGTTAGCTGTTGGATGTGCTATTTACCATTTGCATTCTTTAGGTCTTACCTAATCCCTGTGGCCTGTTTACCCTAATGTATATTATTTGTGTTTACAGTTCCTGTGGGCACTGCCCCTATTTCGAGTGTATAAAAACCTGTGTTTTTCTGTTCAATTAAGAGTTCCAGTTTGGCATCTAAGCTACTCTTTGGTGCAATGCCTGGCTATTTTACCTTGGTCCTGTGTCCCAGTGGCGAGGGAGCAGTTCTCTTACAGAGTCACCAAACTGGGGTGACAAGCATTCCATCACACCTACTATAGGCACAACAAGCCTAAGTAAAATGTGGGTCTTTCATTGGTTGGGCCATTTCTTAAATAAGCCTCACCAAATATTTTATTTGTTGCTCCTGTCCCCCAGGCAACAAACTGCATGTAGTCATCAGCAAGCTTATCCCCCTCACCACTGTCTGATCTAGCAAGGAGATGAATAATTAGCAGTGACTGACATCACTTGTCTTGGGCACCAGGTGCCTCAATAGAATAATCGATGCAGTTTCCTGGGTATAAATTAACTACAAGCACAGACAGCCTTTGCGGCTGACGGCTTGTAGTTCTAAATGAACTACCAGGGCCCTAGTGAGCACTCTAGGTAGTTCATTGAGTCTTACTGTCATCGTGTAACTGCCTGCCCATACGAGGTATGAGCAGACAGATACACTGACAGTCCACAGGATCCCTGCATTGCAGTAGTGATCTGTTGACCATGGGTGCAATGCTTTACAGGCTCCTAAAATAAATAAAATAATAATTAAATGATAAATGCAGTTTTACCTGCAAAATAAATGTGCATTTCTTATTTTTTTTTAGAAAGGTGAACGTTTCCTTTAAAGCATTCCCACTTCTGTTCAGTGTTCTTTATTACAATAATTTGATCCCATTTAATGTAATGTAGTACGGAGCACAGCTTATTAATGTTGACCCTTAAAATGTAGTGTTCCTGTCCTACCCCTGTGTCTCCTCTTCCTAAAATTTACAGCAAATATAAATTACTATGTGATCACTGTTACCTAAATTATCCCTTACTTCCACATCTGCAATCAGCTCTATTTATTAGTATTAGTAGGTCCAGCAAGCATTAGCTCTAGTTGGGGCTTCTACCATTTAACATATTAAATTTTCCTGCAACAGATTCAAGAAATGATGACCACTAGCTGAGTGAGCAGTTCCATCTGGCCAATCAATATTGGGAAAGTTGAAGTCGCCATGATCATAACATTACACTGCATCCTGCCATCTCTAAGTGTGAATGTGTTGGGTCTCCTCCTCAATGGTAGGGGCATATAGCATCAACCCACAATTTACCATTTGTTTCTTCCCTTTGAAGCTCAAGCCACAAAGACGCCAACTCCACAACAGCTCCATTAGCAATGTCATCCCTCATTCATTATCCCTCATTCATTATCAAATCACTCCTCACCTAAAGAACACACAACCCTTACCCTCTTCTACGGTCTACCCATCCTGTCCTTCCAATGCAGGGACTACTGCTGGACAGTCACAAGCCAGTCATGTGAGACCACGTTTCTGCTATTCCCACAAGGTCAAAATCCTCCTCTTGTTTAAACCCAAATATGTAGCATACAACCACAACATCATGTATATCCACAGCGTGAATAATAATTTTTTTAATCAGTTCTTATTGCAGTAAACAACTAAAGTTACACATTAAATCACCGCCATCAGATCTATGCTTTTATTAGTTAGTGGATTTTATATCCAACGCCACAAAACAGATTTTAGTTCCTTACCCTGCTGTCCCCCAGATTTGCAATATACAAGTTGTTATCTGCAACCAATACACAAATAGCAGTGGTACCATCCTTCCATGCTGGCTTCCTGTATACGGAATAGAACACATTGGAAAAACAACATTATAGGAACCATTCTATGTACATGAATTTTGACACAAGACTGAGTAAACAGAAACATGTTCTTTCAGTCATACATCATTCATCATTCACTGTACTGTACAGTATCTCAGTCTTGATTGAAAAAAAAAAAAAAAAAAAAAAAAAATCATCACACACACACACTAGCAAGTGATTACTGCTTTTGCTGTATAACATCCTCTTTTCTCCCTGTTTCCACCAATCTTATTTAACCACTTGCCCTCCAGAGGATTTACCCCCCTTCCTAACCAGGCTATTTTTTGTAATAGGGCGCTGCTTTATTTTAACTGACAATTACGCGGTCATGCAACACTGCACCCAAATGAAACTTATGTCCTTTTTTCCCCAGAAATAGAGCTTCTTTCGGGTGTATTATATCCCCTATGTGGTGTTTATTTTTTGCACTATAAACAAAAAAAAGAAAAAAAAAAAAGGGCAATTTTGAGAAAAAAATATATTAAACATGTCCAGTAAAAAAAATATATTAATGTGTAAATTAATTGGTTTACGTGAACGTTATAGCGTCTACAAATGGCGGTATATATACTGGATTTTTTTTTTTTTTTTTTTTTTTACTAGTAATGGCGGTGATCAGAGACTTATAGTGGGACTGCAGTGGGCATTCTGACACTGGTGGGGAACTGAATGTCACTGAAATCCCCTGTGACACTAATACAGTGATCAGTGCTAATAAAAAGCACCAAAACTGTACTAATTACACTGGGCAGGAAGGGGTTAACATCTGGGGCAATCAAAGGGTTAATTATGTGCTGTTTTAGTATTGTATATGTGTTGTACTGTGTAAGCACATTGCTTTGTATTGCTATGCAGAGCAATACAAAGCAGTGTGCTGGAGCTGAAAGGGGAGAGATCTGTATTGTTTACATATAAGTCTCTCCCCCGTCAGTGATACTTGGCGGTTGCCAGTGGGGAATCACCGACTGGGACCCGGTGATCGACAGCCGAAGCCGCCAATGACTACGCCGAAATGCAAACATCACACACACACACACACACACACACACACACACACACATCTATACACACACACAAGTGATTTTGCATAGCCCTGCAGCACTAATTCTGTTATAGGGTAGGTTGCAATATAAGCACTTTATTTTTACATCAGTATTCTGTATGCAAAAGTAGTCAGAAAAGTGTTTCATTACCACCGGCATGCATGTCCCTAGGTCACTGACAAAAGGGACTGGGAAAGTCTGGTACACTACACCACTGAAGCCTAAATCTGGTGTACAGCTTGCTTTTATTGGGCTATGTACGAGGAAGAACATTTTCTAACTGAAACAAACCAGCATATACAGTATATGACAGCACTTTTCTCTAATGCAGACAGGTTCATTTTAAAATAAAAAGAAACATACATAAAAGATACTCACTGGCTGGCTGCCTGTTTCAGGAACTCTTCATCTGTCTGCTTGAATGCATCGATCAGACATTTCTTTATTCCCTTGTCTACACTGCTTCCCTCACCTGAAAAACAGAGAAGTCACACTCAATATCTCCAGTCTGATCTACCAACACAGTCAGCTTGAACTCACCTCGAGGCAGTTTTTTCACCAGATTTTGATGTAGCTGTTGAGATGCAAACCGTGCTGCACGGCTCCCACCATGACCATCAAAGACAGCAAAGTAAGACAGCCGTGAACTACAAGGGAAATACAATCATGCTGCATATTAAAAGGGAGCAGCAAGTGTTTGCAAACTTATTAAAATGTATATGTATCATTTTAGATGCAAGTTCAGGGGTCAATGGACCAACTTTGTGTCTAAATCAGGCCATGTACAGTACTGTGAAAACCTTTAGGCAGGTGTGAAGCAATTCTGGAAGGTAAAAATGCTTTCAAAAATCATTTCATATACTTGCAGAAAGTCAGGGATTTTGTAGGATTATGCAAGCCATACATGGGTCAATTTCCAAAAGAATTTTCTTTAGAAAATTGGAAATTTTGTGCATTTTGTAATCCGATGGTGCCACCATTGATTTATAAATTTGACCACCAAGCCTTTAATTTCACCTCATGTTGCTACAGAAAGGAATTTTCGTGGCCAAGAATTTTCTTTTTTTTCCAGGTCACAGCTCATGCTCATTTCTTTTTCAATTACGTTTTTCTCACGATTCTCCCATTCCATTGCTTAGAAATCAGTTTGTTTTTAAAAAAATTTCCAACATGCCCAATCACTCAAATTCGATGGTCTCTCGAATATCAGCTGTTGCTGTGGCCCACTAAATTCGAACGAAAACTCTTAGAAAAGATTTTTGAAAGAAATTTCTTTCAGAATTCCACCTATATATGGCCGGCTTCAGAGTCAGGTGTATAATTAATCATACCAAGCAGGTGCTAATGTTGAAACCCAGTTATTAAATGAAACAGAAACAGCTATGCAGGAGGCTTAAAACTGGGTAAGGAACAGCCAAACTTTGCTACTAAGGTGAGGT